GACTCTGCAGAAGAACATGTGCAGTGACTCTACATGAGAACATGTGCAGTGACTCTTAATGACAAACATGAGCAGTGACTCTACAGTAGAACATGTGCAGTGACTCTACATGAGAACATTTACAGTGACTCTGCAGAAGAACATGTGCAGTGACTCTGCAGTAGAACATGTGCAGTGACTCTACATGAGAACATGTGCAGTGACTCTGCATGAGAACATGTGCAGTGACTCTGCAGTAGAACATTTGCAGTGACTCTGCAGAAGAATATGTGCAGTGACTCTACAGTAGAACATGTGCAGTGACTCTACATGAGAACATGTGCAGTGACTCTGCGTGAGAACATGTGCAGTGACTCTGCAGTAGAACATTTGCAGTGACTCTACATGAGAACATGTGCAGTGACTCTGCAGAAGAACTTGTGCAGTGACTCTACATGAGAACATGTGCAGTGACTCTGCATGAGAACATGTGCAGTGACTCTGCATGAGAACATGTGCAGTGACTCTGCATGAGAACATGTGCAGTGACTCTTAATGACAAACATGTGCAGTGACTCTGCAGAAGAACATGTGCAGTGACTCTACAGTAGAACATGTGCAGTGACTCTGCATGAGAACATGTGCAGTGACTCTGCAGAAGAACATGTGCAGTGACTCTACAGTAGAACATGTGCAGTGACTCTACATGAGAACATGTGCAGTGACTCTTAATGACAAACATGTGCAGTGACTCTGCAGAGAACATGTGCAGTGACTCTGCAGTAAGAACATGTGCAGTGACTCTACATGAGAACATGTGCAGTGACTCTGCATGAGAACATGTGCAGTGACTCTGCAGTAGAACATTTGCAGTGACTCTGCAGAAGAACATGTGCAGTGACTCTGCAGTAGAACATTTGCAGTGACTCTACATGAGAACATGTGCAGTGACTCTGCAGAAGAACTTGTGCAGTGACTCTACAGTAGAACATGTGCAGTGACTCTACATGAGAACATGTGCAGTGACTCTACATGAGAACATGTGCAGTGACTCTGCATGAGAACATGTGCAGTGACTCTGCAGTAGAACATTTGCAGTGACTCTGCAGAAGAACATTCGCAGTGACTCTGCAGTAGAACATTTGCAGTGACTCTACATGAGAACATGTGCAGTGACTCTGCAGAAGAACTTGTGCAGTGACTCTACATGAGAACATGTGCAGTGACTCTACATGAGAACATGTGCAGTGACTCTGCAGAAGAACATGTG